ATGTGTTGCCCTCTGCATTATTACATGGGCCCTGAAAAACATCCAAATGACATTCATTATTCAACATTCAATAATTATCAAATAATGTGCGATTGTATTGATATATTTTCAACATGTTCAACTGGATAATTCAAATCATTTTGTACTCATATCTATTATTCTAGTCAGGTGAATATATTTGCATCTTTTGCAACTAGTCCCTCCTCCCCCACTCCGATCATTGGCTCTAAGATAATGATTATTGTGATTTTACTGCTTTCAAACAATGGAAGATTAGATGTTCCGACGAAAATATGGTAAGTCTTGTCTACATTAAGATTTTTTCGAGGAAGTTCAACGTTTTTTTAGAGATACACGTTGTGCCTTAAATACTAGTATATCATTATCTCATACAAACAATTTAATTGGTTCCGAAAGCAGAATTGATGTTAAACATTTTGTGTATTTTTGTGTTGAAAGAGTGACGAATATTTGATAGTGGGAAACTGAGAATTAATTAAAGTATTTACCTTGACATTCCTCACTTTCTTTCTTCAAACATTTATTTTTGTCACTATACAAATTCTGATACATGTTCCCATCGGGATGGAGGCTGTGGAAAAGGCATGGCTTTGACCGTGTACGGATGTCACCTTGAGTACTACATGTTCCACTCCACTCACCCCATTCTGAAAATTCACAACATATCCTGCTTCAACGGCCCTTGAATCCTTATTGTATTTATAAGTTATTAACCATAAATCAAGGTATATAGCAGGTGGATCTTCATAGCTTTTCAGATAAATTAGAGCTACCTTATAAATATTGAGTCCCGATTCACTTCCCAAACGCCAGATGGCGCTCCAATGGGGTAGGGAAAGAGAAAAAATGACTTTTTATACAGAAAACCAAATCACTAACGGCAATCGCTAGTGTCCTTACACCGGACTATATCCATATTTGGATCACTTCATAATGTTCAACACGAATATCGTTTGGTATCAAAGTTATAACAATCTGATATTAAAAGCATCTTCAGTCCAAACCGGTGTGAAAGAAATAATGGTATATGTTCATCATCTAGCATTCTCAAATAAAACACTATCCGCTCGAAATGCGCATACCCACGTGACAAAAAACCAACAGCCACTCACATAATGATCTGCACGAAATTAAACATGTTCCTTTGCACATCGAAAATATAGTCCATATATCAACCAAACAATAAGTTTCAGATGACTAACTCAACTAGATGCACCTCAAAAGCCGCCTATTTTTCGAAGACACACCTAGATTCTCCACGAAAATGCTAAGAACCTTTTATAACATAACTTTGTAGAAAAGATATTATTTTCAAAGATGACAAGAATATCATCTAATGTTAAATCTAATTTGAGACAAAACATTAGTTTTTACAAAGTTATTTTACAAAAAGTGGGTAGATTTTTCCGCGTAGGATCAATGTTATTAACAACATGTAGAACACATCTTGTAACGCTCATAAACATGGAGCTAATTGGGCTAGTCATCTGAGACATCGTGTGGAGTTGCTCCATGGAGTCTAGTTTTGATATTTTGAAGAACAAATCAGATATACCCCAGAAAAAAAGTTGTCCCACATTATATGGGTGGCACTTCTTGTGTCACCCTGTGCGTTACATGTATTGCCGTTTCTTACTGTATTACTTAATAAACACTTCAAACTCAAAAACCTGATATTTGATCCGATATCCATGGGAGCATATTCGAAATACTTGTGTGAAATATAGGCCTCCGATTGTTTATCTTGTTTATCGAGCAGCCTGGAAACGTATTGCTCATCATTCCTATAACAACAGATCTAGGTGGGGTTACCGTTTCATCCCTACACATAAGTGGTCCTCCTGCATCACCCTAAAATCAATACCAATACAGTTTAGGGGCCATAAAGACGTAATAATGCAAATTATATACCACTTATACCCAGCTCTGGTTTGGTTAACTGGTTGAAACGATAACACGATTGGGCTTCTTTCAAATAAATAAATATAAATAAATATTTAACACAAATATTACAAATGAATAGTACTTGATCCATAGCACGTGTCCCTTATTTGATGAAAATGCATTATTCATGGTGAACGTTACTGTTCTCTGTAGTACTGCTCTCTTAGCTCAATGTAGCTCTTTCTAGCTCTTTGTAACTCTGCTCTGTACGTTCCTCACTGCTAGATGAGTCTGCTTGAGGCTCCCCAGAGCTTTGTGTAGCTAACTACAGTCCCTGGTGAGACGAACTGGCCGTACAGCAACCTTAGGCTCTCTGCAATTCTTTGAGGTTCCACCTGGCTCAATGTAGCTCCCCTCTGTACTGTACGGCTCACCATCGTCTGGGAAGGCCCCTCACTGCTAGATGAGTCAGTTGAAGGCTCCCGGCTCTTCTCACCTCTAGGAGGTTTGTCTGGAATTCTATGGCTCTACGCCGTCTGGGAAAGCTCATCACTGCTAGATGAGTCTTCTGGAGGCTCCCGGCTGTTCCTTGGAGGCTCTTCTTACCTCTAGGAGGTTTGGCTGGCATTCTATGACTCTATACCGTCTGGGAAAGCTCCTCACTGCTAGATGAGTCTTTTGGAGGCTCCGGGCTGCTCCTCTGGGTCTCTTCCTACCTCTAGTAGGTATGTCTGACGTTTAACGGACTCCTTGCCGTCTGGGGAAGCTCTTCACTGCTAGATTAGTCTTTTGGAGGCTCTGGGCTGCTCCTCTGAGTCTCTCCCTACCTCTAGGAGGTATGTCTGACGTTTAACGGGCTGCTTACCGTCTCGGAAGCTCTTCACTGCTAGATTAATCTTTTTGAGGCTCCCGGATGCTCCTTTAGACTATATCCTCTAGTCTGAAATATTTTTGAAATTTGGAATGAAAATATTCAGACTATAAACCACATATGTTCAAATTTGGGATCAAAAATTATTTGTTTACATAGGAACTGCCATTCAAAATGGCCGATTGGGTAAATTAATTTGCATATTTGTTACTTTACCTAGCTTTTTTTCCATTTGACAATATGCTGCGTTACTTTTTATAGCATTAAATGGTACCTTACTACTAAATTAAATTGTTATATTGCTTATTTCTTTGGAAGTGAAGTTTCCTTTCTGGCGTTGTAGAGCTCCTTTGTTGTGAAGCTCCTCACTGCTAGATGAGTCTTTTGGAGGCTGCCGACACCTTATGGAAGCTAACTACTGTCAGTGGTAAAACTGAGCTGGCTCTACAGTAACCTGAAGCTCTTTGCTGCACTTTGAGGTTCACTTGGCTCGATGTGCCTCTTCCCGATTTGGTATGGTCCACAGTATCTGGGGAGGCTCCTCATTGCTAGATAGAGGCTCTCGAAACTGTGAAACTGTGCTGACTGTATAGCAAACTGAAGCACTTAACTGCTCTTTGAAATTCCATCTGGCTCGATGTGGCTTCTCTCTGTTCTGTATGACTTCTCAGTGTCTGGGGAAACTCTTCACTTCTTAATGAGTCTGTTGGATGCTCCCTGCCGCTCTTTGAGTCTTCTCTTGCCTCTCCGAAGATGACCTTCCTTATATGTTTTCACGTTATTTTCTTTCGCATTATCTCCCTCCTGCTGACTGATGGCTACTCAAACCTGTTTATATCTGTGGATTTCCATCCCAATTGGTCCCCAGCTCCTACGTTGCGACCTTACCTCTCTCCCTCATCCTTCCCGTCACATGACTGCTATGGGTTTCTAAATTTCTAAATCAAGTAGACTACATTGCAGCAAATGAGGGGATTCCCCTTTATGTCTAGAAATACCCAGAAATTCTCACTATTGAACAAGAATGGACAATCAAACAAGAATTATGACTAAAATACAAAACTGCACAAACGGGAAAACTTAAGAGGGTAAACATAAAAAATGAAATTGTCCCACACTATTAACATACAGGTAGCGGGTAACATATGAAATGTGTTTACAACAAGATGGTGATCAGTGGTTAAAGCATTGGTCTTATTAAAAAAAAGCATTGAACAGGCATGA